AGGGGCTTGTTACCTCTTTTTATTAATAGGAAGATTAAATTACTACAAGATGGGGAGAAAACTGCCTGTTAGACATCTGCACGAATAGGATTGAAGAGCACAGGCTCCTGTACAGAGAGGTGTCTCTCACATCTGAACTGCATACTGAGCACGCAAGTTGGTTGTTAGTTCAGTAGTGCCCTCTGATGATGCAAAAAAGAAAAAATTATTAAGTTTCACAAGCTGTTTGTACTCAAATATATTTTCTCAGTTTCAGATCCTCAGCTATTTGATTGAGCGGAAAGTCTTGAACTGTAAGGGCTCAAGAAGAATAATGTTGCATTTCCTTATGTCTCAGGAAACACTTTTTATGGTAACGTGTCAGATTGTCTATGAACAAACCCACTTTTTTAGTCATTGATAAATTCTTTTCTTCACGTGATATTTTATACAAGAACACTTCAGGTGTGTTATTAGCTGTAACTGATTTTAACAAACCCTATTAGATTTGTATCAACTAGTTACATGTTCTATTCATAGTCTTTTGTGAATCATTGCCTTTTTGTTTAAAAAGATGGCCTATTTTGAGCCTTTGTATAGGTACATTCCTGTTTTTGTGACAAAAGAAAAACTCTAAACTGTCCCAAACAGAAAAATAATGGCTATCCAGAAGTATGTTTTGTTTTAGTGTGAGCTACTAAATGGTGTTACTGTATGTGTTTATTGTAAAGGTGGACATTTAGCGTTCAGTGCAGTTTTCAATAAAAAGTAATTAAAATTTGTAAAAAAAAAAAAAAAAACCAAAAAACTTGTATTTCAACAAAGTCTAAAGTCACACACAGCTTTTCTAATTTTTCACTGCTGTTTCTAAAGAGGGCACAGATTTGTTTCACTATGAAAGGAAAGAGGTCTTCTTATTAGAGTGGGAGGCTCAGCTTATGGACCCCAGCACATGACCTCACTTCCTTGGCAACAGGTCCAAACAGAACTCGGAACAGTCTAGCGACGGCGGCCTAACAGTCACTTGGCTGGAGAGAGTCAGCAGCGAACATGCTGCGCGGCTTTCCCAGGCCTCGAGGCCGCAGCCTCAGGACCCCGCCCAGGGAATGCACTTGGGGATGAGTGAGAGGATGGATCACTGAGTCCAGACGCTCCAGGCCACTGGCCAGGAACCTTCCTGCCCTCGTGGGCAGCACAGGGCAGGTCTCACCAGACCCAGCGACCACTGGCCCTGAGATGAGAGGGAATCCAGGGCAGGTCTCCCTAGGTCTGACCACCAGACCGTTGGAGCAACTGAAGGTAGGACAGGTCCCTTTAGGCCCAGCCACCACTGTGAGTGCCCCTAGGAAGTGTGTGAGGGGAAACACGTTCCTGGGCTAAGTTCCTCCTGGGCAGGAGCAGGTGGTGGGAGGCTGTGAGCCTGGGGTCCTGTCACATCTCACCCCTGACAGGGCTGGCAGGAGGAGAAGGCCACTCCCCACTGATGATCCACAGCCTCCAGAGCCATCTCCTGTCCTCCTGGGGTAGAAGCCTGTGACGTAGCTGTTTGTGTTTGGGGAGCACAAGGTTATCTGGGGCAGAAACAGCACAAACTATGAGAAGGCAGAGCCTCGTGCTTCCTGCCAGCTGCTAGGCATTGTCCCAACAGAGCTGCACACAGGACATCAGCCTGGAGCTGGTCACTGGGGCCTGTGCGCCCTGTGCTGTGACAGACACTGGGGCCGCAATGACAACAGGTGCCAGCTCAGGCACAGGGTGTGTGTGTGAGCAGAAGGGACTTTTTCCTGAGGCCACAGGGGGACAGAGAGGACCCTCGGGGGACAGATAATACCTTCACCTCCTCCCTGCAGGGCTTGGTAACAGTGGGCCAGGGTCCTGCTCTCAAAGGTATCCGGGCCCCATGTCCTCCAAATCCACATCCTCTCTGCTCAGCCTCATGCTGACCAGGGGCAAGGTCACTGTCCACATGCTGGGGGAGAACCAGGAAAGGGCCGTGGACACAGTGTCACTTCAATCCTGCCATGATTGCATTCAGCCATTTCACCTCATCGTACCTCCTGGCCCAGGCGTCCATGTGGCCGGTTCCTCATCTCTACCCTGGGAGGGGTCTCATGACTCATGGGTTGCTGCTCTTCACACACAGAGTTACACACAGTCTCTCCTCAGCTAACAAGCTGGCCTGAAGGGCTAGTCTTTCTAGGTGTCCCTTCTGAAATTTAACTTTAAAATAAGGATCACTTTCTGCAGGGTCTTCCTGTGCCCTCTTGATAGGAGCCACTATGGACAATTCAAAGTTTGACCAAGGCTTAATCCTCAAACCCTCCTGATGAGTCATGTGTGGGACCCCAATTCCATGTCTCCCCACTGTCCCCTCACAGATTGGAAATCAGGCGGCCCAGAGCCTGGCAGAGGTCTGCACAGTGAGGACAGCACAGGCAGGCGTGCCGCACACCCTGACAGAGCCCCCGGAGGAGGCCTTCCTGGACAGCTGGCCCATCGATGGGCCCTCCTTCCCATGCCCCAGAGGGGCCTGCATTTCCTCCCCACAGGAGGGGATGGTCGGAAGGTGAGTTCCGCTCTCAGCCGCACAGTGGACTTGGCCACTATGGCTCCAAGTCTTGGAAATGTCTAAGTACCTCTCTCAGCCTCAGTTTGCCACTTTGAACAGTGAGGTGTTGAATGGATGAAATTCACAGAATCACTATAGGAAGGAATGCAGTCTCTACGGCAAGTGTTGACCCTGGCCTTAGCTCCATGGAAGACCAGCTGTAGCAGGTGTGCTGATTTTCAGGGATGAACTTCCATCCTCACTGGGAAGTTTCGCTTCACCCTCACTGACCCCTGTACTTGTGGGGAGTTTTTGGGTTCTGTGTAAAGGAGATTGGAGAGTCACTCTATAGGGTTGGGTGTACCCAGAGCAGGAATCGTTTGGGGATGCTAAAGGACCTACCCACTCACATATCACTGGGGAGCAGATGGGTATATCAATCCACGAACGCACATGAAGACACACTATGTGGAGACAGTTTTCTAGGCATTATTGATGATTCTTTAAGAAGAGATGCAACCATTGCATCTCTTTGGGCTTCAATGTTATTTAGGGGCCACAAACTCACCCAGGCAGCAGGAAAGATATGCCTCCCTTTATGGGACATGTGATTCATCCTGGCCTCCCTGGATGTGGATACACAGCAGTGTTGGAGGAGGAAAGAAGAGGCACAGACACTGGGCACCACATTGCTACATGAGCTAAAAAAAAAAAAAAAAAGCCTGAGGACTGAGGAGAGGCAGGGCAGGACAGACATCTACTGTCCCTCACTTCTCAGGTAGTTATGGAGCAGCAGCCCTGTGCCCTTGAGTACAACCACACAGCAGACACCAGACTCTGTCCTCATGGAGCTGACAGTGGGGACAGGCAGGGAGACACTGTGTCAGGCTTCCCTGAAGAAGGCAGAGGTGGTCACACCACTGAACAAGGGCTCCCTCCCACTGAGCCTTCTGTCAGGCTCTCAGGGCTGCTGGGGCCAGGACTACCCTACTGGGGGTGGGAAGAGAGTGGGGCTGGAGCATGCGCAGACTGGGCAGGAGGCTCACGTCTGTCCCCGAATCTCCCCTGGGCAGGTAATATGGGAGGAATGGCCAGGCCTCTCACTCTGCCTCCTACCTGCCTTCCCCAGCTCCGTGTCCTCTGTGCTTGGCTCCTTGCCAGAGCTGCACTCCCAGGAGAATCCCCCAGCTGAACTCCTGGCCCAGTGAGAGCATGCTGAGCCCACTGAGGCAGAGCCCAAAGGTGAGGAGGACTGGGATATGGGCCTGTGGGTATGAGGGAAGGGATGGGCCTTTGAACACAGCAAAGCTTCCAGGTGCTGGGGTGACCCAAGAACACCGAGACTCTCTCAGTCACTGGGTGGATTTGCTTGGGGAGGACTTCCTAGGGCTGAGGTGGTGCACAGAGCTTTCTTTGAGAGGCAGTGGAAAGGTTTCGCCCCAGGAAGGGACACAGATAGTTGGTGATCTTTTCTTCCCTTCCAGCTGCAGGAGCAGCTCCAGCCCAAGCTGAAGTCCCAGCTGCAGAGCCTGTGCCAGCTCTACCTGCAGCTCCCTCCCCAGCTCTGCCACCGCAGCCAGAGCCAGCACCAGGAACTCCTCCTCCAGCTGCACAGCTGATGCTGCCGCTGGTGGCTCCTCAGCAGGTCTCAGCTCCTGACCTCCCACTGGAGCCAGCTCCTGCCCCACCACAGCCGTTCCCCTCCCAGGCAGATTTACTTATTATTGCCTTTATTGTTGCCCTTATTTCCCAGAGGTATGTCAATGCTAGAATTAATTATAATATAATTTAAGATTTTAGTGTTGTTTAAAACAATCAGCTTGGTGGCATGAAGTGCCTTCGCAGTGTTGTGCACCCGTCACCACTGTCCAGGTTCAGAGCATTTTCCTCAGTGCTGTATCCGTGAGTGGTTTCTCCCCTCTCCCCTGCTGCTAGTTCCTGGCCACCACTCATTTTATGTCCCTGCAATTTATCTACTGTACATTTTTCACTTCAGGGTAATCAGATTTTTCTATGGCCACAGAATCTTGGAAGGGACAGATGAAAAAATGCTAGACAGAGCCCACTGCTTTCTCATTCATATATTCAGTAGAATAGCCAGTAATTCTTTTCAGACAAGAAGTACTTATTACAGTGAAATATGGAATCCAATACGAATGAATAATATCAGGACCTAGTGACCCAGGGATCGTGGCTTCCCCCTGAGGTGCTCCCCTTCCTGTGTGCATCTCAGGATTCAGGCTGTGTCTCACATGGTGGGTGAGGGTGTGTCAGGCCACAGCTCCCCTGTCATCTCATGTACACACTGGGGACATGGCCCCACCATGCTCCATTCCTCGACACATTCAGTGGCCATGATGCCATATTTGTCTCAGCAAACTCTGCTCTAGACAGTTTCCAAATTTTCCTGCCCATTTCAGAGCTGAAAGGAACATCTGCATCTGTAGCTCTCACTTTTTAAGATGGAATCCTGACAGTGGAGCCTCTGAGTCACAGTCACAGAAGCGGAGGTGGCGACAGGGTCACTTCCATGCGGGGGAGCAGGGAGAACAGGTGGAGCACACAGTTCCCTGGGCACAGAACTCCAGGGTGACCTCTAGGAAATGCAGCTCTTCTGGCTTTCAGGGGGAACTTGGTGATAGCAAATCCCTGCTGACATTGCCACAGGGAGGAACAGGACAGCACAGCCCCACCTCTCATACTTGAAAATGGAAAACGTTCTCTAGATCTTGATTAAATTTCATTTTAAAAATATGAAATGTCAGAAAACCTGCATACCAGGATCCGAAGGTTCCTAGTGGAATTTGGTCCAGTCTTTTCTTGTGGACACTGGAGAATTCTCTGGATGGAACTATTTTACAAGTTAGTAAATTTTGTTTCAGTTCTGGAGTTTGAATCCAGGACCTTCTTCCTGGGCTACATCACCAGCCCCTTTAAGTTTTTGAAAAATATTTTGACACTGAGTATCTCTATGTAGCTCAAGTGCCCAGCTCAGCCCCAAACATGTGTTCCTCTTGCCTCAGCCTCCCAGAGTACTGGGATTAGAGAGGTTCAACACCTCACCTGGCTTCACCAAGCAGTTTTGTAAAACAAACTCCAAAATCTACGGCTATGCCTGGGTGTCCACCTTTAGGAGCTGGGTCAATTTGGTATCTCTGGTGAGGAATGTGGACTCCACCAGCAGGGTGCTTTTCCCTGAGAGGCCAGCAAATCTCTGTGTGACCATCATTCTAGGGCCACCCAGTCTGGGTGGTGACTGCAGCCTCTGCCCTGACCTCCCTCCCACAGGGCCCCGAAGTGCTAAGACCCCCCACCTCCCTTCTTTCCATCTTTCAGCAGGGTCAACTGGGCAGGGAGCAGGACAAGCCTGTCCCAGTGAGACCTGTCCCACTCTATCCCCAAGAATCCTTCCCAAGCTGTAGGAGCTGCAGACAGCCCCATGACTGACCCTGTGCCCATGAGAGCTGCAGGAACCATCTTATCAGACTCCACACATGGCCTGAAGCTCATGACCCACACAGGGCTATCATGGGCCCCCTCCCTGACTGCACGTACTCACCCCGTCCTGGCCAGATGCTGTTAGGCTCTCACACTGTGCACCACTGCCCCCTGCACTTGCCACAAAGAAAGGATCATCCAAAGGGAGCCAGGCTTTTCCTCATTTAACTTTGCATGTCAGGTGTTTTGTCCCAGTAGCAAGAAATGTAACTAGGACAGAGTTGTTGCCAGGTGGCTGGTTAGAACAACCTGAGAGGACAAAGATGCCTAAGGGACCCAGGAGTCAAGGACAACTGGCCTGCCCTCCCTCCCGACTGGCTCCCACAGGAGACATTCTGCAGTGTAGTTAGCTGTGAGGTGAGCACCTGTGCTTCCTGGGGTGGGGGAGAAAATGCTGCTGATGGTTGATGCCCCTTTCAAGTTGTCTATTGATTTCGGATGAGGTCCTCTTGAGAAGACTACAGGGAACTGGCTTCAACACTGCACAGCCCCTCTTCTAGGGAACCTAGACTAAACTTTGCTTGTTATAATCACATTGTAAACCAGGCATGGTTGTGCACACCTGTGATTCCAATATTCTAGAAGGCTGAGTCAGGAATATCAAAAGATGTTGCCAGCCTGGGGAACTAAGTGACTTAGTGAGACCCTTTCTCAAAACAAACAGCAAAAGGGTATGGAGCTGAGGATGTAGCACAGTGCAAAGGCCCTGGGTTTAATCCACCATCCTGAACAAAAAAAGCCATGCACATATGATGATGCTAAATCTCTACCTAGGCATGTTCTCATCCACCATGTCTGACCACACGGTGTATAAAAGAGCATGATCTGCATTGTGATCTCACAGGATAGGATGTGTGGGTCTCTCCAGGAGAGTGACAGTCTTCCCAGTATGAACGTGGTAATTCTATCCCAGGAAATCCAGCTGCCTTCTGTCTTTGCGAGGCCATTTTGCCGGTTACCCCAGGAGCGCTCCTTACCTGCTTCTGGTCACAAACCTTTCATCACTCTTCTATCCCCTCATGGTGTTTATTGGCTTTGAACTCACCAAGGGCCAAACCCAACTCTGTTCCTTTACAAACTTCCATAACAACAACAACAACAACAACAACAAAAAACAACAGCAAGAAAATAAAGGTTTGGAGATCAGGTAAGTTACTAAGAGTTTAGCAGGACTGTCAGGGCTAATTTTGGAAACAAGATTATCCTGGCTCTTGGGCAGCCGAGGAAAATGAGGTAGCAGGAGGGTGCCTGGAGCCTAGTAGGGCAGCTGGCAGCCTGGACTTCTGAAGACCCAGGAGATGCCAGCCAGAGGTGACTGCTCAGTCATTTACTTGCTCATCATGACGTGGCTTGGGCACCAATCCAGGAGATTGAGATCAGCGCCCTCTGGAAAAGCACTGGGCAGAGATGCACCTGCTCCCTGGCCTGTGACCTGAGCTGGCTGATCATAAAAGGCCGGTTCCCCAGGACACCTGCCACACCACTCTGCCTGCCTGTCCACAAGGAGCCCTGCAGGAAGTGAGAGGGCCTAGAGCAGCCTCCCCAGGCAGATGCTCTACCTCTTGCCAAGGCCTGGAACACCAGCTTGGATTTGCAGCCCCTTGACCTCAGGAGCCCCCACCTCCTGCCGGACATGTGATGCATGCTTCAGGTGACAGACCCCTCAACCCAGAGGTCATGGGTGCTGGGTGGAGAAGTGGTGGCACTGGAGGGTGAGTTCATCACAGGGGACACAGCGACAGGTGTGGGGACCTCAGCCGACACAAGTGTCCACACTCTAAAGTCCAGCCTCTTCCTTTGGCCATGAACTGGGACCCAAGAGATGGGGTCAAAAATTATAGGAATGTCACATCAGCCTTATTCTAACTCTGACGGTTTCTCCTCACGTTCATTTTTTATTCCCCATACTTTCAACAGAATGTTTTATGTCCTGGATTTCTACTTGATTTCTTTTCATTGTGTCTAATTCTTTGCCAACATAGTCATTAATATTGTGTATCTGTATTATTACTTCCTGCAAATTTTTGTTAGTGTCTTCCTTAAGCTCACTGTGTTTTTATTATGTCCCTTATTATTCAGTCACATCATCTTTGAGCTTACTGAATATCTTATGCATCTGATTTTCTGTTTCTTATTTTATTGTGCCATACATTTCAGCTGTTTGGTTTTTTATACCTTCCCATCTGTGCTCATGGGATCAGTTTTGGGAGAGTGAAGAGTTTTTGAAGGCCGCTTGTTCTCTCCCATGTCTATGATTTTTGTGTGTGTGACCTTAGTGCTGAGGATCAATTAGAGTGGAGAGCTCTTTCACTAATATGGAGAACTCTTTAGTTAGTGTGTGCCTTGCAGTGACGTGATCCTGGCTTTGGTGGTTATGGTTTAGTATTTATACACCTCTTCAACCTCCTCAGCGTGAGAAGATCAGACCCAATCCCTGTGTTGCAATGAGGGAACTACTAGTTATATCAGCATCTACAGAGCCAAGCATATTAAAAATGTATATTAAAATGTGTCTTAAGGGCCAGGGATTTAGCTCAGTGGTTCCACCGCCTGCCTCACAAGCTCAAGGACCCGAGTTTGATTCCTGGTACCAAAACAAAAAAAAGGTGTTTTAAATTTCAGCATTTTTTCAATGACCCACAATAACCGATACATTACTACTGACAGGTAGATTGGGATGTGGAGGACTGGAGTAGAAAAGAGGAAGCAGAAAAGGAAGAGTTTTTGTCAGAAAGAAGAAAAGTATAAAAAGGAGGTAACAACAAACAAAAGAAAAGAGATCAAGCTCTGTTGAGATTGTATAACTAGAGTAAAGGCTGGTGGAGAGGAGGTCTAAGAGAGTATTTTCCAGGGTGGTAGAAGGAATGCAGA